TAATGTCTCATAATATAAATAAAATACCGTATAGGAAAAATACAACCCATTGCATAATATAAAATGAAATTTCATACTCAAAAAATAAAATAAATTGCACAAATTATAATATGTCATACAAAGAGTCATTCAAATGTTAAACAAAAATAATACATTGCTAGCATGGGTTATGCATTCCTATAAAACTAACAAATAATCATCCATGTCGAAAGTCGGATCTTCCTTCCTACTTTGTATGTATAACAAAGACACATGTGTTAATCTTGTTATCATTAATATCTGATCGTATAGACTCGAGTGTTAAACTTGTTACCATTTACATCTGATTCATATGGTCCACAGAAAGTCATGCGTTCTTCACCTCTAATTCAGCAAGATTGTTACCTACATAAATGAAAACAAACAAGAACATTAACAGCCCAATTATAAACAATTTCACAGCATGCCATATCATTTATTACCAAAAATGATGATCATTAATAAGTCCTTTCAAGGATAATTAGGTCTGGATAGAAGATTAAACTAAATACAAATCATAAATATTATAAAAAACAGTCAACTGCATTGGAACAAACATATAGTAAGCAGAAACCAGAGACAAAACATTGGGGTACTACACCTGATCAACCAACAGACCATTGTGCTGCCTCACTTTGTCAACCACTTCTTGAGCTGCAGCCTTCATCAAATTTCTCTTGATAATAAAGAACAAGATGTTAACAGATAGCATATTCAATGTAACTTGAGCATTACATGAAATAGGAACCAAACACATACCTCTACTCTTAGTATCTAGCTTTGTATCTCCTTTATCAAAATCTTAGAATTTAATTCAAAAAGTATCAAAGTCTTACAACAAAACTTGTTCTAAACTGTAATTGGTTGGTGAATTTTAAAAAGTATCAAAGAGAAAGACATGGAAAAAAAATATGATATGCACAAAATCTCAATCAAATTCCACTAACAAACCAAATCAACTTACAAGAAGAAAAAATTCTTGATGAAGACAAAAATTACCTCTTAATTAGCACAATAACCACCATATTGTTGAGTGACTTCACAGCTTGATACCTTAGTTGATCAAGCAACAAACCTAAGTTCCTACTTGAATTATTACGACCATTTCACAGCTTGATACCACAGTTGATCGAGCAACAACTATTTGGATATATTATAAAGGGTATTAAAGTAATACTTGCTCAAGTTTTTATCCTTATTCAATGAGCTTGGACTTTTCTTCTCATCTTCTGATGGAATGTTGATAGCTTTATAAGCTTCTAACATTTCTGCATGGTTTGCCAACATATATAGAATAGAATTTTAATCGAAATTAATGTTTAATTATAAAACCAAAATTAAGGTGCTAAAATATTTATTCTTACCTTGCTCATTAGTCATGTCAAAGAAAGCTTGAAGCTTCAACGCCCTTCTCTAGTACATCATCTCTCTAACTGAACTGGTGGATAAAGGAAAAGCTTTTGCAAGAAGGTAGCTTACGAATATAACAAGCAGCCATAAAGAATTCCTAACAAAAAAAAGAATTTAACATCAGTGGAAGTGAGAATAGAAGACTGGTTTTATTTAATGTAAAAAGACAAAAATAGCATCATTCATCTGCTTAATCAAATCACTGGCAAACGTAACCCCTGCTATTTTCCTCCCTCTCACTATCACTAAAAGATGTTTGTGTCCCTTGAAAATGAAACCCTGCTAATACCAAGTCCCTGTTTTCCAGAAGTTGCTTTATCCTGCAAAAACAAAATATATCAATTTTGTAGAGAGAGAGAGAGAGAGAGTATAGGTAGTATTTGAACAACTCTTAAACATCAATCATAAGCTTCATTTGCACAAAGAAATGTTAGTTATTGACTGAAACTCAATGATTCAATGGATTCTAATCAGAAAAATCCAATGTGTGCATAAAATCTGTGACAACCCGGAATTTTCATTGTACGAACATCATCTATTCAATAGAAGCTAGTCCAATTCCTCTAAGTTTCAGACTTGTCCGAACAAGTTTATGTACATTAGGGTTTACAATTCTGGACATATCCGGACAATGGATGCTCCTATGATCGTGAAACTTGAACACTGTAAGTTTCACAATGTTATAGTCCGACTTCCAGAATAAAAATATTTTCTGTCAAAATATTTCTGGACTATAAATAGTTTTCTGAACTAAATTAATTCATTATTCACAATTCCAACTAGAGAAAAGCAATTCTCTCTGACGGATCTTCGGGTTTTCATCCCGGATTGTGAGTCTACTTTCTTTAACATGTTTAATGCTTACTATATGCCTTATAACATCATTAAAAGTCCAAAAACCACCAAGATTGGAGGAGTTTACGGCCAAAGAACACCTAGGCCGTAAACCCCTTTCAAATGGGCAAACAAGCCCTAACTTGCCTCCTTGAGCCTTGAGACTTTAACCACTAGTTCTTATGCTTGATTTGGACTTGAAAACACTCCCAAAATAATATTGATTTAGGAGTTTACGGCCAAGGAATGATCTTGGGCCGTAAACCCCTTTTTGTGGGACAAAAATCCTTCCAAACACCCCTAAGGCCTTAAGACATTTAGCTTGAACACATGGGACTTGAAAGGAGAACAAAAGACTTCATAATCACTCATTTAAATGAGTTTACGGCCAAGGAACATCTCTTGGGCCGTAAACTCCAAGTAATGACACAAATGTGTGCATCTTGTCCCCATTAGCCTTAGGTAAAATCATGGAAGCCATCCTTGATGTTTAAGAGCCTCAAAACAATTAAAAGCCATCACCCCATAAGAGTTTACGGCCGTAAACTCTAGGGTAAATGGACTTTAGGCCGTAAACTCCCATATGGAGTGTTCTAGGGCCTTAAACTACTTCACATGTTATTCCAACAAAGCTAGGAGTGAGCTAGGACCAAGATAACACCACAAAAACACCCTAAACAACCTTTGAGGAGTTCACGGCCATAAACCCATGAGTTTACGGCCGTAAACTCCAAGTTGTGGGTTTGTTGGGTGTTAAACTCCTATACAAGGCCTCTTGATGTTTCAAACCCTTTTGCCTTGTCCCGGAACAACTTAGATGCAACCATTTGAACCTTAAACACTCATAAGAGTGTTTACATGTTCCTAATTGTGTTAACTTACTTTGTTAAGTTATTATGTGGCTAATTAGTTATATATATGCTTATTATATGATAACTAGGCTCGTACGTGTGAACAAGTCTCCGTTTGACACTTAGCACAGTACCCGATACCTCAATTCAAGCGACTCACCACATGTGAGTTCATACCCCTTGAATCAACCTTTGAAATGATTTTAAACGTTTTAAACACTTTATGGGGGGGTACAAGTCAAATACTTATAGTTATTGCTTCAATCGCATGTGATTGCCTTTAATCACATGTGATTAATAACTAGGAAAACAACGATTTTTACAAATGTTCAAACTGTTTATCAAACTGTTTCACTTCAAATGTTTTACAAACTCTTTTTACTTATCAAATACTTTATTTAAACTTTGTTATACTTCTTATAAATTGCATGCCTATATACGTATAAATGTATAAATAATGTTTAAAAGGCTTAGGAAAGCCACCTATCCTATTTCCTTTTCCTCGATTTGGATGTGGTCTGGTGGAGTTTCGGGTGACCATCCGAAGGTCGTTTCAACATTAGTTATATATAATATATACGTGTATAGACATAAAAGTACTTCCATATTCATACTTATCAGTACATCAATAGTTAGTTACCATCGGGGTAACACAGTACAATACATATACATATACTAGAACCAATACATATACAATGATGCTAGAAACAATACATATACATATACTAGAAACAATACATATACAATGATGCTAGAAACAATACATATACATATACTAGAAACAATACATATACAATGATGCTAGAAACAATACATATACATATACCAGAAACAATACATATACAATGATGCTAGAAACAATACATATACATATACTAGAACGAGAAACAGTACATATACAAGAACACTTTATTATTGTGATTTAAATCGGAGCATGACTTAACTGTCATGGCTCGAGTTGTAGCCAGAATTCTCTTGGAGGGAGAGCGTGAGTTTGCGTATAGATCTATACTGGATTGACAATCCTACACCTTGCTGCTAGCTACAGCCGGACCTGCAGGTCTGCGGGTGCCAAACGTCATTCCATTATTACGACCATTCATTATGTCGTTGTTACTAGTCAATAGTATGGTGCAATTTATCACGTAATGCCTTAATATAAATCCGGTTTAAGGTAGTTAGTACAGCAGTAGTTCTTATCATACAAAGGCTACAGTACTACATTAATTTACCCATTACATATTTTTAGTGATAACCTCACTTAAAACGTTTATGTACAAACTATATTTTGATAAATGATAGTTACATTTGGGAAATTACACATTTTTACATCAAGCGAACATACAAAACAGTCAGGCCTTGGTAGAAGGCTTCTTTGATAGAAAATATAGGATTTTCTGAGAGATTCAAACTTTTACAAACGATTGCAAACTTTTACAAACGATTGCAAACTTTTACAAACGATTGCAACTTTTACATACATTTTACAAACTTATACTTGATACATGTTCAAACATTTTTGAATGACAAATACAGACACTAAAATACTTATGAACTCACCAGCTTAATGCTGATAAACTCTTTCAAAATAACTTGTATTCTCAGGTCATCAGTAGACAGGTACCGATGCCAGCTTTTGAGAAGATGGAGCGCTTTCAAGACTCATCTTATTATTTTGATATACGTTATTTTTGGTGTCTATAATGTACATAACACACTTGTATTAAAATTATATATTTAATGTAATGGATGATGTTGTTTGCTTATTTACATTTACTGTGTTGTGATACTTACATGACGTCCTCTGCCCCAGAACGTTTCCGCCGTTCTTGGTTTTGGGGTGTGACAAAATCAGTTATTGACAAAAGCATTTTTATGGAACAAAACCTATCTGAAAAGCAAATTCAATGTCAGAATGACTCTATCTCCCTCATTCTTTTTAGCAGCCTTATGCCTCTTGTGAACTGAACTCTTTCCCATTTTAAATGCCTTCAACTTTTGAGCTGAGTCCTTATACCCTTCATCCGGAACCAATTCATGCACAGGTGGCCTTGATATTGACCTTGACCTTGACATTGACCTTGACTTTGACCTTATCTTCATCTTTTTATTTGACCCTTCATCATCATCCACATCCATTCCATCACCATGATCAGATGACCTCTCCTTCTTTCTCCCCCTTGACTCACTTCTCACCCTTTACATTGCTTTTGATGGATCAAGCCCTAATGATGACAGTTCTCATCCTATTCTTTCAGATGTAAATCTCTTGTCTTTATCGAATTTTCTTGGAACAATTGGTCTGCTTTCAGCTGTGATTTTCTTGATTCTATGTTCACGAATTTATAATATACTTTTCTTTTTCCTGATTTCGTTAAGCTCTTGCTGTTGTTCTGGAGTTAAATCCTCACCTTCCATTTCTTCATCTTCTCCATCTCCCTGTTCTTGAAGAAGCCCTTCTTCTTTCTCCAATTCCTCAAGCCTCTGTAGAATATCCTGATCAATAAAATTAAACGCGTTATGCCCATCGAGGATTTCAGACATGTTATCTTCCTTCCATTTATCATCAACTAAAAGATAATGTTTCTTCAAACTTGCAGAATAAACACCCGCTCCACCATTTTCATTCTCATTATCCATTTCGAGCTTCCTCTTCACCTTTTCAGCTTCCATGGCTTTAGCTTCAAGAACACTTTTAGGTATACAAACAAGTCTTTCCTTCTGATCACGTGGCTTTGGCATTGCAACATGAAACCGATTCAAACACTTGTTGATTTTCTTTGACTTCGTTTTGACTTCAACTCTCTAATCCAACAGCCTCTCACAAGCTGCATTTTTTACCACGATTATCCCTTCTTCAGTCAAAGTACTCATGGTCAACAACACTTAGTTGACCTTGTATTATAAACAATTGAAATAGTCCTTGTATATATTAATAATCTGATACATGTGCTTGACAGATAGCTTCCTAAACAACAGCTAGTTCTAAGCCAATAGCTATAAGCTGAAACAGCCAAAAGGACATGAATTACATACTTAGAATAGCCTTGTTGCTGCTTGTTTTTGAACTTGTGAAAATCAAAGTAGTTACGAACATAATCAACTGTTGAAATTAACATGAACATTATATACGCAAAAAATGTATATGATGATTATGGTACACTATGTATAATATAAGGGCGTACCTTGAACTCATAGTTATGTGTTTCTGCGAATTTTGTAGCAAAAGCAAGAGAAAGCAGAAGGGTCAGAAAGAGGTTGGATCGAGATATGGACATCATGGGGATCTTGTGTTGAGGTTTGGAGCTTGTTTCTGAACACTTCGGAGTGAAGAAGCATGAAGGTTAATTTGTGTTTAGATGACGATGATGGGTGGATTTATATATAGAGGAAGAAGATGGAGAGGAATAAGACTACCCAATTGCTGGTTTCTATGAAGGATTTTGTGAGGTCCGCATCCCTAGTTCTTTGAAGCGGAGTTTAAGAATTATAAGAAAAGAACGTAAGAATGAGGTTTAGATGAGACCGTCGGTGAGGAAAAAGAAGTGATGATAGAAACTAGGGTTATTGGCTCACGAAAATGATGAATTGAAGAACTAAACTTAAACCCTCTACAAACAAGGTATGTGTATGCAGACAAATCGATATGTGAATAATGGAGTAGTAGTGGTGGCCATCATCTCCATCGTCGATCGCAGACATTAAGGGAGGGGAATAACGAACCCTAGAAGGCCATTACATTGAGTAGTCGCACATTTAGAGAATGAAAAGTAATGAAGTGGTAAATCGGTGGCTATTGTTTTAGCGATCCGGTGGGGGACTGTTTAATTTAGAAGGAGAAGAATGATTTTAGAAAGAGAAGAAAACCAGAAGGGTGATTAGGGTTTTCCAGAGAGAGAGAGAGAGAGAGAGAGAGAGAGAGAGAGAGTGCAGAGGTAGAGGAAGAGGGTTGTAGGGTTTTTTGTTTGAGGATTTTAGAAGGAGAAAAAAGAGATGAATCAGGCGAAGAAGGATTATTAGGGTTTTTTGTTAGAGGATTTTAGAAGCAGAAGGAGATGAATCAGGCGGGCTGTTTAATTTTTTGGGTTTTCATTTCCCACCATAGATTATTAAAACAACAGAGAACGCACCTTTCTAAAAAAATATAAAGCGACATATTTACATGACACGCTATTTATAATAGGTGCCCTCCGTGTTTTTTTTTTTGGACACTAATTTTAGGGCGTGCAAAAATACATGTTCTCTATCCTTCAAATTTTTGAAAACTTACATTAACTTTTAGGGCATGCACAAATGTGCATCCTCTATCAGTGTGTGTCATTAATTGCGCGTTGTAAAAGACTATTTTTCTAGTAGTGTTTGAATCTTTATAAAAAAAATCATCTTTGTATGGATGTGTATGAATCTGGAAAAGAGAGAGGATGTGTACTTGTTTTGAATTTGCTTCAAATCTTCATCAGATGGTGGTGTTACCGGTGTTAACGGGTGGTGGTGGTTTTTTTCTTTTTCTAAAAATAAGAACAAGGGAGATGAGTTCTGAATTTTTTTATTTGACCGGAGCTGGTCGTAGTGGTGGTAATCCGGCAGAAGTAGTGGTGATCTGTGGTAGTGGTGGGTTTCGATTGTGTTTTCCGGAGAGAGAGAGAGAGAGAGAGAGAGAGAGAGAGAGAGAGAGAGGGAGGAGAGAGAGAGAGAGTATGTGTGTGTGTGTGTGAAAAAGAGAGAGAAAGAGAGAGAGAGAGAGAGAGAGAGAGAGAGATTGTATATTAAATAATTATATTTAGTTTTTTCTTTTTTTTTTAAATAATTGAAAAGATCATAAATGGTCAATGTGGTGTGAAATGACGGAAATGTTCTTCAGTTAACGGACAAAACTTAACGGAGTTAGCAATAAGAACCAATCGTCAAAAGTTTTGAAAGTACATGGATCATCTATGACGCTTCTAAATCACGGGTACTATACTTCAGATTTTGGGAAACCACAGGAACTATTTATAATGTTTTTTCAAAAGTTAATATATATTTCCGGTAATTCCCCCTTTTAATTATAAACTTAAAATTAAAACAAAAATCATTAAACATAAATTAGTTTTTTCTTTTTTAAACGATAAATCTAACATACATGTAAACTAGTCCTTAAATCCACTTATAAGCAATATCAATGACGGGATTGAACCCTCAGCCTCAATGAATGAATGCAATACCAGATATCATTGGGTTAGAAACTTTTTGGTAACATAAATTAGTAAATTATAAAATTAAAACATAAACATTAAACATTACATTTATTTCAACTGTTTCCTTGTATATTAAATTAGTTAATGGAAAATAAGATATTTTCATGTTCAACTTGTGCAACTAAAACTTAAAAGCAATGTGCATTAAAAAAAATTCATTTTTTAGCAAAACCTTTTTTCAACGAATGGATAAATTTTAGAGAAAGAAAGATATATGTCATATGTATGGAAAGCTACAAGGAAAGCTATGCTTTTAGGTCCATTCAAAATATTAGATATCTTAAGTATACATTATTGATGTAATTGTCATTTTTGTCGACAAAAAAATAATACAAACTAAACGTCGACTGTGTTTTATACTTCTAGAGAATACATAAATAAATATGAAAACGTTAAAAATTATTATAATTTTATATGAAAACCCTAGATTAAGAGCATGATCTAAGAGGTATTTTCGAAACTTATTTTTTCTTTATTTTATTCGGATATAATTCTTTCTCTTATAAGGTGAACAATTATGAGAAAAAAGTTAAGAAGCTTATACTGAATATTAATTGAAAAATTAAAAAGCTAAAAAATATCCTTAAGAACTATACGAGCAAAAGAAAACACTCCGGGATACATATATCGCATATTTAAGTGTATTTTATATATATTTTGAGGGAATATATATAATACAACATATTCTACTCAATACTCATTTAACAATTTATGTATTGTGTATAGTCGACTAACTGTGAATATGACATAATGGTTGAAGATGTTTTAATCAACTTGTATACTCCAATTATTTAAATTGTCGAATATATTCAAAATATTATTTTTTATATTACTTTTGAAATTGCCAAGAACGCAATAATAAGCAAACATAAAATTCATACTTATACAAGGTTTTTCCAGTTTCTCTAAAAAATATATATATAGTTATTAAGTAAATAAAAGACCAACACAAATGTTATTGATATTTCAAAAGATGCCTTAGCGGATAGAAGAGTACATTTAAATTAGAATATCCCAACGAAAATTGTTATTTTAGAACAATTAATACAAAATAAAGAACATGTTATTAATTCTTGAAATGAATTACTCCGAAAGGGCAATTTTGACTTTTTATATGAAGAGTTCATTTGCACTTGCACCGCAGCCTCACACGTTCAAACAATCAAACCTCTCTTTCTTTGGTTTACTTCTATAAAAAGTATAAATGACATAATATGGGCGGTACTATTTTGGCAATCACCGCCATAGCAGAATATAACTTATAAATAATAAATAATATCCAGTCGCCGATTTATATAATATGTTTTCATTGAACGACAAAACCATTCACATAAGTCATTATAGTTTGTACAGTTTAACCATCGTATTTTATATATTTTTTAAAACAATCATATATATATTTTCAAAGAACTTCGTCGTAGTTATTATTATACTAAGTGTGAGATCAATGTATTATATAGGTTTATTTAGAAAAAACTAAATATAAAATTCTAAACATTTGAAAAATATAAATATATAAGAAAAAAAAAATATTGAACTATAAAAATTAAAATATTTTTTTCTTTTAAATTTAAACAAATAATTAAGTAATAAAGAATTTTGAAATTGATATGCATTTATTATTGAATATAAATTATATCTACAATTTAATAAATAAATAAATAAATAAATAAAACATGTGAAATAAATATTAATTTAAAAATCTCATAAAATTAAATTTGACAAAATAACTAAGAATGTAACATACTGCAAAAAAAATATTTATTTATTACGGATGATGTTGCTATTTTTTTCCTTTTCTTATTCAAAAAAACCACATAGATATATTTTCAAATATTTACATAGCAAGTTAAGATCACTATGTTATTTATTTATTTATTTATTTATTTATTTATTTATTATAGGGCTTACATTTTATCCGGAAAAAATTGAATGTACTCTTCATATATATATATATATATATATATATATATATATATATATATATATATATATATATATATATATATATATAGAGAGAGAGAGAGAGAGATGTTCAAATTTTCTAACAATTACTGTGTTCCTAAATGCACCAATGATAATTTAAGAAATAATAAATAATTAAATAAATCATTTAAAGGTATTTGGATATTTTCTATTTTTAAATAATGGATCATTTAATTGAAATCTTGCAATTAAAGAGATAAAATAAATATATTTGACCTAGTCTCTCTCTTATATCCTGTCTTATATCAACGATGCTTATTCTTTTTCATAGATCGATAGAAGGTCTAATGTTCCTAGTTTTTCATAGAGACCAAGTAATATTCGTATCATCACTTTCCCGAACTCAAATCCACCACCAATGGCTTCAGCCGATCAGTAAAGTTCGGCGAAGGTGGTTATGGGTGTGTCTACATCGGCACCATTAAATCCGATCAGTCATTGAACTGTAAGTTCCAATTGTTTTAGAGTATCAAATCGCTATTATTCTATTATATTCATTCGTTTATGTGCATTCTAGTG